TACCCCCCTTTCTTTCTTTCCATCATACTGCAACTCACGCTCCTAAGGATGAAGGAGCTGGCGTTTCAACCCATCTCATTTCCTAAACCTTTGTACTTTGTCGGTCTCATGCCTATCCGCATGATGAAAACCCCCGCTATACGAGGGTCCGCGAGGTGTGAACTCGAACACTGGCGCTGATACCCCGTACCATAACCGCGAATAAAGCTTCTCGAAATAGCTCCCGGGGGCATCCTACTCGTATCCTGTCTAACCGGACAACACACACAGACACATCTGGGAACTCAAACGTGGAGACTTATTCTAACCAATATCACCACCACCACCACCACCACCACCCTCCAACAATAATAAACCTTCCACAGGTATACACCCCCCCAATCACCCCCCCCTTATAGCAATTTACACACACACACACACACCTTCCAGGTATCATATATAACCACAAACGTTACACAAACCCCCCGCACCGACGGAGGATTATCATGGGGTGGCAATACTTTTAGCCAATCTTCTTTCCTACCCCCTTTTTTAAAATTAATATCTCTGAAGCAAACGCACTTACCGGTATTAGCTGCGGATGGTTAGAAGTGGGGGGGGGGTGAAAGCCTGCGTGTGGCTCGCTGGTTCGGAGACTATTGGAGTGGAACGTTGCGAGTGAGAGGTTGCAGATCGTGGGGGGGGGTGGGGACTGGTAGGGTTAGGATACCAGAGTATCGTATCGTATCGTACACGATTGAGGATGAGGATATTATGGAGGGAGGGAGGGTGGCGGTTGGGTCTGATAGAATGTGAATGCATAATCCCGGGCATTTTTAAGCGGGCTATGATACCTTACGATACCCATCATCAACACCCTTCAGTGGAACAACCCCCCCCCCGGTTCGAGCAGAAAAGGCCTCACCCCTGCTAGACTTCACAATACAACCGCCAACTCGTGACGATCCCATGATCCCGAAAAATATGATAGAAACTATCAGGATAGCCACTTCGACTCTCGACGTATCGTATCGGGTTCTGACTACGTGTTATCCAACCCATACCTGCGGTTGTAATTCGCACTCCAGCATGAGTGCCCAATCCTGGAAGAGAAGCCGTTCCGGGATAATTAAAGCCTTCCATCATACCCACCATACATCTAGTTCTAAATTCTATGAACCAACCACTTTGTCCTTCCTGCGAGAGCTGAAAGTTGCGCATGCTTAGCTTAATCTTGCCTCGTCATACTAACTAACTAACTAATGGCCCCACGCCAGCTGTCGGAATGGCCAATATATGCCGAGCTTCGTCCCCCCCCCCTTCCTGGATGATCGTATATAACGCGTGGTCGAACATGACTTATTTATTACCGATCGCAGAAGAAAGAAAGAGAAAAAAGGGGGTGAGGAAGGGGAACACCCGGTGTAAAAGCTTTTTGCCATTTGCCGAAAGGGGTAGTTTTACTAACACGACTAACCACCCGGGTCAAACAACAATTCCTCGCCGGAAACGCTTTCTCTGAGAAATCACGTGCCGAATTTAAGCGAGTGATATCCCGTGCAACGCTCCTGAAAAGGATAAAAGAGACTTTCTTGCATGACGTTATAACAGTTTATTATCATTATCTCGGGAGCCGAATAAAGCCCGATTAACATTAGTCTAAAAATCTACCGCAATTAAAAAAGAAAAACCAAGTCTAGTGAAGAAAAAGAAAAAAAGAAGAAAAAATTAGATATATACAATCCCCTCTCGTAACCATCCTTTCTTCCGACAGCCTGCTTGTCGTCCCTTCGCCCTTTCGCTATATCCCTCAGGATCGCATGGACCAAACACTCCGCAGGAGTGTGATTGTGGTGGAGAATGGTGGAGGTGTAAAGATTCCCAGAAGCTCATGGTAAGGCGTTTTCAGCCTTGGCGGAGGTATTCCGAATCGTCAACCTTGCTGGATTCGTCCGCTATGGGGTATGTCTCATTGTGTGTGAGGCGCGATCTGGCATTGGTTTGCTGTTGTAGGAGGTGTCTGTTATGCGTGTTGGTATGGAGGCGGCCAGGAGAGAGAGAGGTTGGGGGGGGGAAGGGTGTTATGTATGTACACGGCGCTATTTGGAGGAGGCGAGTTTTTGGTGTGAGCAACTGAAACAGCCAGGGATTCGTCAGTTCAGTATATGAGGTGGTGAAATCCCAGGGCAAGGAGTATATACTTGAGCAGGGAGTGTAAAATATTGCTCTAATTATAATTACGATATTATCCGTCCGTCCAGCGGGGGTTTTCCTTCTCCGGTATGTATATACTCGGTGTGTGTGTATGTGGAGATGTCGAAAATCTAGTTGCCGTGATGGAAGAGGAGAGTTGAGAGTTGGGAGTTGAGATTAAGACTTTTTGAGGGGAGATTGTCGTTTCGAATATAAACAATACCGGGGCAAAAAAAAAAAAAAAAAAAAAAAAGACCTTTTGAAACGGGTATAGCTAATATACCCATTTCTCGGTCCTTTAATAACCAGTAGCGAGGTGACGGACATATTACGCCCCGAGCATAAGCCTACCGTAACTCGAATCAGATTAGACCATAACTTTTGCGTTTTTTGTCGTGTGGGGTAGCGGCAGGGTCCAATGGGGAAGGAAGGATCCCACACATACCGTCTAAACCCACGCTGTGGATCGAAGCCATCATCATTTCTTGTTATTCTTGCTGCTAGTCCCCTCCCCACCTCCACCTCCACCACCACCACCACCACCACCACCACCACTACTACTATTGCTACCACCTTCCGCATAATCATCATCTAAGGTTAAATCGCACACGGAGAATTAGTATTAGTTATGTATGGTAACCAGATGCAAGCTTTTTTTTTTTCATTCGGGACGGTCAAACCATTTATCCACTCAACCCAGCTCTCCTTCATCTCCGCTGCTCTATCACCCGCATCCTGCACTGATGCAGACTCTGATATGCATGCAATGTTCTGCGACATCCAACTCTTCATCACTTCGAGACTAGAGTCGTCCGTGCTATTATTTGGGGTGGTCATAACGTCGGTGATGGTGATAATGTAATCCTTGAATCCTCTCTTTTTGTCGAACAATGAATGTATATGTGTATATATATATTATAGTGCACTTCGAAACACCACACGCATATATATATATTATCAGAAAAAACGAAATATGGTAAAATATAATGATAACGGACACGGGAACGAAAGAGAAAAAATGGACTCCAAAATGGAAGATAACTCGAAACCGTTTTAACCACTTTTCAAATCCCTTACAATGACTCTAACTCCCCCCCCCCCGGAAAGACGAGACAAACGAACTGACCTCTAGACTCAATGCCGCGGTACAGGACAGCTGTCATAACACACAGCTTACGTATAGCAATTAAACTCGGAAGCTAAAGAGAACAAGGCGGAGGGCCTCCGTCGGAGAAATACATGTCCCGGGGCTGGTAGACGCTATTTTTCTTTTCCGCGTTCCGTCCTCAACTATTCTCGGCCAGTGCAACACTGTTTTTTATTTTTTCTTCTTTTCTTTTCTTCTTTCCCTTTCTGCCTTTCCTTTCTTTTCCCTCTCAGCAAGGCTTCTTTGGGATGGCAATAAATAGTGCACAAGTATATCTATAATAGTGGTTGGGTTGGGTAAGGCTTGAAAAAGGAGGGCTTGGGCCGCGTTCTGGGACCCAAGTGGGAATAGTGTTTGATGGATCAGATTAGATTTAAGGATTTAAGCTCTTTTGACGGGGGAGAGAGTGACGGACGTGTGACGTGTTGGCGCATTATCACGGTGGGGGTTGGTTGAACCAGTTGGGATGGGAAGGGAAGGTACCGGTAGGAGAAGGATGAGGAGGATGAGGGGTTTCGCCGTGAAAGGGTGGATCGGGGACTCACGGGATGTTCTAGAAGCCTACCGATATGATAATCGTTGCTACCATGATTGATAAAAAAGTAACGCAAAAGTGATGGAAAGTGTAGAAGGGGGGGCTGCTCCATTTCTGCGTGACAAGGGCAAACAAGGTGGTAATCACGCTCGAACGAGGCTTTCCGGTTGGCGAGAGAGAGAGAATGGAAGAATAAGACTTTACGGGAATTCTCCTGACAAACGATGGCAAATAATACGAGGTGGACAAGAGATCCTCTTCGTCATCGGCTGCGCGTCTGGATATCGGCGACGCCGATGGAAATCGTACGAGTCTTGGCAGGGCGTTCCCCTCGCTTCCTTTTTTCCCATCGCCGGCCGGTATCGTGGTCCTGCTCAAAGCTCAATCGCGATTGATATCTTACAAGCATAGACGGAGATTCATCAGTCCTACGCTACGCTTCTCCCCTCAACCCAGCGATGCGGCAAAATAAGCTTCTTCCCTAGGGCTGATTCTCCCTTAGGCGAATTCGCCACTGTTCTAGAGTAGCGGTACCGCAGGTGTACAGTACTCTAGTCAATTATTACAGGACCTGCACGCACCGCTAATGTATCGTGGTGAGCGGTTAGTCGGTTAGTTCAGTCAGTCAGTCAGTGCGATAATATTTTTAGTTGGCCCTATGACCAACAAACACTACTAAGCAGCCCTCGGGGGAATCATATTCTGTCAACGGAGGATACTTTGTCCGGATAAGGATTGAGTTGCCCTCCCCTCATTGGTCACCTCTTTTATTTCCCCTTCTTGTCGCCTCACTCCCCACTTCTGAATGCGCTGCGAAGTTTGAATCTTGTGGTGGTGGCTTTCAGGTCGGGTGGAGGTATGAGTGGTGGGTTGGATGGGAATAGCCACCGCAGGCTCACCCAACCCTTCGAGCGCTGCCGTGGAGAGGACGAGGAAGAGGCTTGGCGACATCAAGGGGAACAGAGCTGGGCGAAGTGAGGAAGAGTGGATAAAAATATTCCTCAAAGGGCTGTGTGTATGCCATGCATATGATGAGACGAGACTGGGCTGGCTGATCAGTTGGTAGACTACTCGGGTTGGGGATGATTCTTTCGCTTGCTGGTGATGGTGGTGGTGATGGGTGGTTGTGGTTGTGGGAAGGACTCGGAGCGTTGAACAATGGGGGTGAGATCAAGAGGCTCAGGTCGGGGGAATAATGTTCCCGATGGCTTCGAGTCATGACGACCACCCCGACTACCAATCCACCAATAGCAAAAGCGCGCGCCAGTACGGACGTACAGCATGCACCAATCCACCGCCTACTGGTAGGATACTCGAGCAGAGTAGAGTACTGTACTGTACTCTACCGATCAACCTGCCGCAATGCAAAAAGTTCAATGAAACTTGCTACCGTACTGCTGCTGCTTCTGTATGCAGAACCTTCAACACCGGCTTTTTGTGCAACAAGGCGGGGGGGAAGGTACTGTATGGCCGCGTAATGTAACAATACCCCCTCCCATCTCGCTAAACGTCCAATTCAAAGCCCCTCCCCAAACCTTTAAGCTCGCGGCTATACTCGAGTAAGGTACTGGTACCAGTACTGTACCGCTATCATACCAGTAACAGCCCTGACGGGCCTTCAATGAGAACCCTTCAATAAGAACCTAAAGTCCCCGACATGTACATCTCAATGTCTCCGCCTACTAAAATTCCCCCGAATCGGACCGCCGTGCATGTTACAGCGTGCATTGGGCTCTAACATAGTGAATGAATGCTCCGCCACATATTTCCGAGTTGGATTCGAATTAAGCACTCTACTAGGATGATAGGTGTTGCGTCCTGCCGAATCCAGTGTGAATCGAATAGTGCAAAAGGACCCACCTTCCATGCAGGACCTAACGATATAAGTACCCATATGGCGCCCGAATGATAGGATAAACTATACAAGCACAACACAGCTGAGTGCAAAAGCAGGCATACCGGCAGTCTGAAAACGAATTCGAGGATTATATAGCCTGCCATCCCCAAGCCAGCGGAAAGAGAGAAGGAAAAAAGTCAATCATCCAAGCGCAGCATTATCACCAGCACTTTTACAAAAAAAAAAAACCCCCTTCGAGTCAAATTTCGTCCAACGACACTTTCGACAATGTCCGAAAAATTGATTGAGGGTCACAACATGACCTACTGGAACAGTATCGATTGCGATCTCGATATATGCCCTCTCAAGGCCTCGTTTTGGGATTACCGGCCCTCTCTTGCCCTCAACTATCTCCTGATTGCACTCTTTGGTCTGTCTATGCTTGCGCACATTGGGCAAGGAATCAAGTACAAGACATGGGGTTTCCTAGCGTCGATGTTCCTTGGGTGCTTTAGTAAGTTTTCACTCCCGTCATATTTCCCAACCCCTCTCGACGGCCCCCTCGTTTCAAGGGTTGAGGCTAACAGTGCGGATAGCTGAAATCATTGGATATGCTGGGCGGATATGGGCTTACCATGAACCCTTCTCAATGGATCCTGTAAGTTCACAAGCAACATACTCATGTCGTGTGATAGCTTGAGCATCACTAACAGTCCTAGTTCCTTATGCAAATCTGCAGCTTGACCCTTGCTCCGGCCTTCCTGTGCGCAGGAATCTATCTCTGCCTCTCCAGAATGTTAGTCCGCCTGAGCCCTCTAAACTCTAGTGGATAAGCAAGCTAACCCATAACCCCAGTGTGATGGTCTTCGGTGCCGAAACCTCCCGCATACCTCCAAAAGCTTACACATACATCTTCGTGACCTGCGATTTCGTCTCCCTCTGCCTGCAGGGAGCGGGCGGTGGTATCGCCTCCACCCTCTCGCAGGACGACAAAGACCCGGCACCCGGGAACAATGTCATGCTGGCGGGTCTGGGTTTCCAAGTCTTCACGCTGGTCCTCTTCATGTTGCTTTGCGCAGAGTACGCCTACCGCGTCAAGAACACGACGCAAAGCTTCGACGTCACACACGCGAAGCTCCGCTCCTCCAAGAAGTTCCGTGGCTTCCTGGCTGCGCTCTCGTTGGCGACCATTCTCATCTTCATCAGGAGTATTTATAGGGTCATTGAGAGGGCGCAGGGGTGGGACGGCGAGCTCACCAAGAACGAGACATTGTTCTTTGTGCTCGAGGGGGTTATGGTTGTCATCGCCGTGCTCGTGTTGAACGTTTTCCACCCCGGGTGGTGCTTCAGGGAGGCAATATTGGACCAGTTGGGATTCGGGAAAAAATCGGTTTTCCGGAATTTAGGGGGGGAAGCGATGAGGTGGAAGTGTCATTTTTGTTGTGCCCCTAGCTGGTTAATCACCCCCCCCCCCCCGGCGGGCTTTTTGGTTTATGTTTTTGCTTCCCGTTTATTTTGTTTATTTCGTTTTGTCCTTGTTTCAAGAGTTGGCACGGATATATATATGGACTACCACTTATAAAATTTATCTTTCTTTTCATCTCATTTCTGTCTAGATTTGTTTTCCCAAAAGAAGAAGAATTAATTGAGCTCCGGATAAGGATTTTTTGGTATAAGATAGCATAGATGTATTCATCGGAATTTTTCTAATAAACATTCACCTTCCCGTGCACGGTGCAAGCATGAATTCCAACGCAGTAAGTAAGCTTATATAACCCGAGAGGTATCATAACTGTACAATCGAACACGATAGAGAGACTCGAGAAGAAGAAGAAGAAGAAGAAGAAAGAACACACCCAGCCGTGCGAGGCTCCCTTCCAGGCGCACCGTACAGTACAACTCGCTTGCTTGCTGGCTTTTTTTCATATCATACGCACCTTTGCAGGTGCAAAAAAAAAAAAAAAATTTCCTCCTCTTCCCACACAAGGTTCAAGTTACGGCAGGCGAATATACCTATCGATATCCCGAGGTTGAATCTCACATACTGTAGCGGTGCTTCGCGCACAAAACCTGGCCATGCCACAAAATCTCACAAATCCCACCCCAAAAAAAGTGTTCCATTCTACAAGCACACACTAGAGATCACTCACTCACACCGGATCTTGTGAGTGTAAATGCGCAAAATAATATTTAATAACGATTTAAAGTGGTAGCTGTAACGAAGGACTTTTTTTTGTCGATTCATCACAATTGATGGGGGTAGAGATTCAGGAAGGTGTACGAGTACAGTACAGTACCCGCCGTGTTACCCTACCTGATCCAAACTCACCAGTAAGCAGTAAGAGAAGAAGGAACTCTGAGGCTGATAAAAAGATATATAGTACCGTACCGTACTCGAGTACAGTACAGTACAGGTATCACGACCAAACCCGGTCTTGGGCAAAGCTCCTTTACCACACCCTAATACCTTACTTGTATTCTCCAAGGATGGATTAATCATTTACTCATGACGAGAGATTAAAAAAAGAAAAGAATGCCAACCACGCAATCGGCGCCCCCTCCGTTGCATTACAAGTAGGGTATCCTTCTCGGTGCCCGGCGCCCGTTAACTTTTTCCCGGCCCGGGAATTAGCGAGACTATCATATCCTCAAACTCGTGTACAGTACGAGTACTGTACCACCAATGAAAAAGAAAGAGAAAAAAAGTTCTGCATAAAAATAAACTTTTGGGTATGGTATGCGCCTTGCGGGGAGAGGGGGAATCACGCTACTTGTAGGAACTCTTTCTTCAGAATTTTCCGCCTTCGGATTAAATTAAAGGAAGGGGGAAGAAGAAGAAAAAAGAAAAAAAAGATCTCCAGTTTGAGACGAGTGAAAAGTAGAGAAGATGTTAGCCAGGAGAGGCAACTCCGACGTTCTCACGGTAGACTATCGTATTTGCTCCAGGGAACCGTTGGATCTTGGGGACAGGTGTCGAATTAGGGCTCGAATGTGGCACAGTGCCGGTGCACTGTACCACAGCACGGTAAGGGCTCCACAATGGTGCGTTGGGCGCGGCGCTTGGTGGTTTGCGCGTACAAGTCGACTCGTACGAGTAGAGTTACTCGCTCGTACCTACCGTGCGTAAGGTGTTTGTTGCTGCGCCCGTGTTTGGGGGGGGGATGGCAAGGTATTATATGTGCGGGTATCATAATATCATAATTATTGGTTCGGTGTGATGTGGTGGGGTTTTTGGGTTGTGGGTTGGCGGTTAGTCATCTATCCTCCGCTGGGAGATACAGGTATAGTACAAAGTACTGTACTTGACGGTGGGAGAATTTGTATTTCCGAAAGCGCGTAAATTACCGGTACAGTAGCACGCTTGGAGTTTTTGCAGGTGGGGATATGGGCTTAGTCACGGCATAAGCGTAGTATCATAGGTATCCCGGAATAATAGCTGTAGTCTATCTTCGATTACCGGTGGGTCGATGGATGGATGGATGGATGGATGTGCGATGTGCGTTGACTCAAAAGGATTCTTTATTGAGACGAATTACCCTGCTCAAGTTCCATCCTATTCGGGTAAACCAAGTGTTCCCCCTACTAATATGGTAGTAGGTGAGACCCTCCCTTTCTGGATGACTGTTTGGCCATAGACAAAGTATTCGGACACCACCGCATCAAGAGCAACCCCTCTTGGCTGCTGAACGTCCAAACACTTTACGAACCGGAAGGGCCACTATACTACCCTACTTTAGCTAAGCGAGATTCGGATGAAAATTCTCCGTGACAGGGATGCAGGGGTTTGGCACTGGCGCAGCAGCCCCACCACCAAATTTGGGGGTCAATTCATGTGACGGTGATATCGACACGGTATGCCTGTACAGTACTCGAGTACTCGAGTACTGTTACTTGGACCAGTATCATACCGGTAAGCAGGAATCATTTATGAATCAATCCTACTCAATTACATGTCTCACACCCACCACGAACGCCTTTTCCTCGCCCGCCCGCTACCATATGGGAGACTGTACCCTCTGCCGCATTCGCACGGAGTACCGGTACGGTACTCGTACACTTACCACCCGGAAGCTTTCGTCCTGCATACCGCAGTTGAGGAGGTGACCCAGTCGTTGTGCCCACAGCACCACAGCCTCCCGCTACCGCCGCTGTACAGTACCCTACAGTGCCCATGATACGACTCGAGAATGATATTCTATGATCGGGCTCAACTCTTGAAAAGGTGTGCTCATTGCGTGGTGGATTGCGTCATCGACACACCAGCCAGACTGCCGGTAAAAAGCGTAGATGGGATCACGAAGTGTGATTCGGTCGACTGCGCATTCTGGTTGCAGAGGTGTGGTGGTGGCAGGAGAGAAAGGGGCTTAAACTTGTCGAACAAAAAAAAAAGAAACAAAATCGAGAATACCGGTACCCCCCTCATCACCATTAATCACGCAAAAAAAAAAAAACCCACGTCACGCAAAAACTCCAACGGAAACACTCGGAGCCGCACAACATTTTTCCCACGCGAGCATAATATCCTACCCGGAAGAGCCCATAGCCACTATCGTACCGGTACCGTACCTTACTTTTTTTTTTTTTTTTTTTTTTTTTTCCTTCTTTACACACCCATCCCGCTCACAACCGTCAACTCGCAAGCGGTACCGTAGGTTAAAGTAATTTCCCTATTAGGATGGATAAATGAAGTAATAATACACACACACACTCACAACTACGGTGCGAAAACACCACCTAAACGGAAAACCCAAAAGTCCGGATTTCCAAACTTCGGGTGAGCCGGACGGTCGGGAGGCCGATGAGTCAAAGGGTGGTCTCGTGCTCCGCTCGGGTAAAACCCTTTTTCGCGGAGGGTGGATGGGGCAATGAGGGTTGGTGGGGGCTTGCTCGCTTGTTAATAGCGGGGCGCCGGGTAAGACCGATCGGGTCGGGACGGAATCATCAGCGATCACTCGTTTATTCCCAAATTGGGCAAGTCGTACAAGTTACCGGTAACCGGTACCTTCCCCTTCCGGTGAGGGTTTTGCATGGGGATTGTGGAATTAGGATTATTATTATTTTTTTTTGGCTTTGGAAGGGGGGGGGGCTTGAGGTTGAGTCAGGGCGGTGTCTCGGGAGTTGGGATTTATAGAATTTGGTGGCTTTTTGCGTTCCTGAAATTCCAAGGGGTTGGCGGTCATGTGATGGGGTTCGAGTTCGAGTTCGAGTTCGGACCCCGCCGGTTCCTGGGGGTTTTCCCCGTCTGAGGAGAGGAACCGTTTCCCTGGCTTTTAGCACGTTTCATCACCTATTGTCACTCGGGGACACTGGGAATTAGGTGAAAGGTTGGTTCAAACTTGGTTGGGCATGGTATCGTAGCTTTTTTTTTTCTCGATGGTGTGGGATGTTGAAACACGGTATGATAGTGGTTTCTCCAGCTTTTTGGCACGGGGCGCGGCCGGGTCCGGGCTTCGTAACCAGATCTCAATCTTGACGCAAGGCGTTAGAAGTGTGTGCCAAGTCCCGCTGCATCATGCAGTGTCTCCATTCGCAAGTTGCGAGAGAAGAAAAGGGTTTGTGGATAAGGAAATGGGTTCGAAGGTCCTATGTTCAATTCCCGTCCGTGTTGGTTTTCTTTTTTTTTTTTTCTTCCTTCATCCTAGATCATTTTACAGTGACTAATGTTTCTCTGACAAAGGAAAAGCTTTGAACAATGGACTTGGGGAATTACGAAAGCGTTTGTATGATATAACTTTGTCCAGCCATAACTTGAGACCTAATCAGCTCTCGAAATTTAACATACATTATGTAGAAAAATTTTTAATGGAAAAACCATAGCATTCGGTTAGTAATACATTCATAACCAAAAATCAATGATATTCAACCCCAACTGAAATCATGTTTTTTTTTTTTCAAACCATTCTTCAAACTCAGGTTGATAAACACTGCATGATTTAGAATCACTATTTCGTGCTAGATCACTATTGGGAGCCATAACCACCTCCGCCAAACATCCCCCCCCCTCGCCTTGGTAAAAAAGAATTGAATTGGTTGGAGAATCGAGCTCCTGGTCATCAAACACAATTCTCCTTACTTATTTAACTTATAAGCCGTCTGCTCTTACCAATAGATGCATTCTATTATGCAACGGCCTCGGTATGATATCATGCACATTTTAAACCCTCTGAATATTACGACCATCCAAAGGATCGGGGAAAACCCCCCGATATGAGTTTATCATAGATGTTAAGGATCTGGCTAGTAGATGTATGATGGGATGATTAGCAGGGCACTGACGGAGACCCCGGTCTGGCGCAAAGATCTAATCTACTCCAGGGTAGCCATGCCTGGATGCCCGGGGGGGGGGGTTCATGAGTACTCGAGCGTCACATCGTCTCACTCGATGATGAGCAGGGTTTCACGGTAGGTTTTCGTAGCCCTACGATACTATGCGATGCAAACGGTAAACTTACCAGGCCAGTAGTGGCCGCGTACCGAGAATGCCCGGGTGAGACTTCCTAGGGTCAAAAACAGAGGGATCGAGAGGGAAGATGAGTGGGCTGTGGGATCGGGGAAAAAAAAAAAAAAAAAAAAAGTTAGAAGAGGTATGATATCTGGGTCAACGACGGTCTACTCACGCCTTAGACCGCGATCCCGGCCTTGGGTTTCGGAGAATACATACATAATCAATCATTCGGCAGCATAGAGCTTTTCGTGCACAGTGCCGTTTTCCCATATTGTACTGTGCAGCACCTTATACTTGTGATTTCTGGCACGGCATCGCTGGTGACGATGCCATATGTACCGCATTATCCGAGCGCTAATGGCGGAGAACAGAGAGTACCTTCTAGGCCGCCCTATTTAATTCGTTCCCTCGATATACCTATTCCTTCGATTCTCCCCCACTGTGCACGCTCCGAACAAAGTCCTCAATCGCAAGAAGGACAATACAATAGAGTACCAGCGCTTCTCCAGAACTCCTGTGGGGTATTGCATCCCAGTTACCGGGCAAGGGTTTACAAGCCAGTCAATTGGTCTATCCTCACCTGACACCGATATCCTTCTTGCATGATATAGCTTTTTTTTTTTTTTACACATGTGATCTGCTGAGCGTGGGTTGTTTCGGCTTCACGGTCTTGGCACATTTAACCCCCGGTTTTAAAAACTTGGGCAAGTGAGAATTGGGTTTTGGTCCTTGGATGTATAAATCTCCAGAAGCCTTTTAGTGCCTGCTTGGTTCCAATGCTAATGCTACCATTCTGGACCATTCCATTTTGAAACGGTTGTTTCCAGGTGAGATGTTTGAATTAACAGTCAACCTTTCATCGCCAATTGAAAGATCTTCACCTTAGAGCCCCGTACAGAAATTTTTCTATGATAATATGCTTGGGATACAAATCCTCCTCCTCGAATCCGCACCTCCAATACTCCACCTACGACCGCCCAATGATAACGGGGCTCTAGGGATTTCATACATATATTATCTGATATAGTATTTTAAAAAGAATTATTCTATTGGACAATAATGCTTAACTTACATGGCAACTGTTATGATAGATTGGCTGTCAGGAAAAGGAAGGGTTGACGCCATTCATCTTTTCCAAACCCCCATTTCATTCCCCCATTTTGAAACGTAAGGTGGAACGGTTATTTGTATGGCATCATAACCCACCTTACCTCTACCACTACCTACGCAATCATGTCAAATCCCGACTCACCCAGGAGAAACCTGCATAACATGTTACCATCCTTCACTTCTGGAAGGCTGAAACATGTATGGTACGTATCATTCCATCTCGCCAGCCGGACGAGCATCAGGCGAGACGCAAGTCACGATTCCGCCCGGGAGTGCGAATCCACTTTGTCAAAGATGGCGTGCTGGACGGGTGGGAAAGAGCCGCCCGGTTGTGGTAACTGTCGGAGATGTATGATAGTGGCGTGCGTTCTCCATCGAAGCTTTCTATCTAGCTATAACGGCTCTTTAAATGTCGTAAGAGGTGACTTCTACAAGTATGATAATCCTATACGTACGTTCGTGCCCTAGTTCTCACCAGCGCACACATTCTCCCCCATACAGGCGCTCCCTCAACGCTTCCGGCGCTATCATGCGGTGATGCGGTGCTCTGGTATTGGTATTATCATGCCATGAGTGCTATTAGGTAGAACCCTATCTATCTCGTCCATGGTCTCTTTCGACCAACTTGTCAATAAC